TACTACCAATCTATAAATTCATATAGGAAGTATGCAAAGCTTATTCCATATAATGTTAAGGTGGCTACTCCTCCTATGGCACTTCTTTAAGTAGGATTTATTGATGGTATAGACAGCTTTTGTTCAATTCCAAATTAATCTATAGTTTTAAAGAAATTATACATATTACTAACAATATTAATTCTCCTCACAATTTAAATTAAAATTATATTTTGAAAATTACACAACAATATGATAATAAATAACTCTTATCCTTAAATTTATAAAACTAATTTAGTTTGGATTATTTTATTATTATTTTTTCGTTAAATTATATTTTTTTAAAATGGCTTCTCAAAAGAAAGAAAATAGATTATTCAATTTAACACCTAATAAGTCATAGCAACTTCAATAATCGACATTTTTTTAGAAAGGTTATGTTAGTTCTAATAATTTTCCATAAAAAATTGCTCCAAATTATTAATTTAGTTATGAAAGCATGCCTAAAGTTAATTGTCATTATCATGTTGATCAATATATAACTATGTTTTGTAGATGTTAAACTTGCTAAATGCCCTTATGTCCACAAGTATAGAATTATGTAATTAAATTAGTGTGTTAAGATCCATTCTCAAGAACATCAAGCATACAACACATATGGAGATTTTGATACTCTAGAGAACTGTTTAACAGAAGTTTATCAATCTGTTGCTGCCAATTGTAATAGATTTGTAGATGAAATGGGATAATTAAATAAAGTTACAGCATTAAATGAAGGGATTAATTATTATATGGATAAAGTTAAATAAGCAAGATAATAATGCTATTAAGTAATTGACAATTTCTTTAACACCTTGGAAGCAGAATTAGCTTAAGAAATAGAAGGAAATAGAGGATTTATGACTAATCAATCTTAAAACTTTAGTAAATACTTGTAATAAAGATGGAAGACATTAATGAGTCTCTTGGAAAAACTGAATACAGATAGATGTGTAAAGACTCTTGTAAAATATTACACATCTAATCTTCCTCAAGAAAATGAGGAATATTATCATGAATCTAATTAATTTATGAAGCAGTTCAATAAATGCGTTCCTGAAATCATCTTAGATTAAAGTGCATTGTACGAGTTAAATATTGATTTGGCTAAGTTTGTCTCTTTAAAAAAAGTCCCAGTTATGAAGTAAGTATCAAGAAGTCATCCTTAATTTCCTCCCAATGAACCAATATAGCCAATTTATAATTAATTTATACAGACATAATAAAATCAAAATTTGATGCCTATGACAAGTACAGAACCTCCCATTGAGCCTCCAAAATAGTATCCAGTTAAATAAGGATCATTCAAGTAGGAATAAAGCCGTCCTATTTAATAAGAGAATACATAAATTCATCCGTATTTATTAACTCCTCCAAAAACGAGTAATTTCTATTAATGATGAATATATTTAAAATATAAGATATATTTAATAAGAATTTCAAAATATAATGCCTCTTGATTACCTTGTCAAAACAACAAATAATTATTTAAGCTGATCTAAATAAGTTATTTTTAAATAAAGCGACATCAAAAATGACTTCACTTGATAAATAAGGATGGCTCTTAGAATCTATTCTTTTACTATAAAGAGGATTTTAATTTAACTCTAAATTGAGTTGAAGATACACTTTTTTAAAATAGAACAAAAACTATTTAGTTAAATGGTATCTAATGAGACAATCAATAAGTAATTTTTTCTAATGTAATTATCACTTCTTAAAAATCTTTATTATAATTTAAAGGAAATAAATCATATGTTATTCAAGGTTAATCTACTCTTGAAGTACTAAAGATCCAAATTGAATCAATAAAAATAATGTTATAAAAGAAATTAAGAGATAAAAGATTTAGTAAAAATATAAGCATAAAAATAAAAATGATAATTTTA